GTCTTGCGCATGACGACAAAGGGGATCTTCAGGAGGGCGACGAAGAACTCCGCACCTTTCCACCACACGACATCCATGATCATGGTTGCGAAGGGCTCGACCGGCGGCTTCCTCCCCTTCGCCCAAGCCTGCCACTCCGGGCTCAGCACCATCTGCGTCAATGCACTCCGCACCTCGCAAAGCCGCTGCACCGCGATGAATTGCGTGCCAAATCTGGTGCCCGCCGGCTTCAGCACCTGCTTCCCCTTCCCTCCCTTCACCTGCGGGCTTCGCATGTAACCTTTGGTGAAATGGTGGGCACGCACAAAGGTAATAATCACCCCCGCCTTAGCCACAATGTCCTTCGCCCAATCCATTTTCCCAATGTCCTCCATGAGCAGATCCATGACGTGAGTAGCGCACGGCACATGCTCAATGTGAGGATACTCAAGCATGAGTTCCCTACATGCAGCCGCATAATTGCTGCCCCCATCCATGCATAACGCAACTATGTTGGCGGGCCCCACCTTCTCAATGATCGGGCGCAAAACGGATGCAATGTATCCTCCCGTCTTCGTCTCCAACTTACAGTCGATGCTTTCGGTGAACACTGCACCGGAATCGTTGATGAGCAGGATGTTGGCTTGGGGACGGCCACTTTTGTCCGTCATCATGTCCGAGCCTATCTTCACGCCATCCCGCTTCCAGCTCGCAGTGATGGGAGCGAGCCCCCTCTCGATCTTTTCGCGGCAACGCGCAAGGCCGGCGCCACCAACATACCGCCGCTTCGGGGGAACGTAGCCATGGCCCGCGTCCGTGATGCAGCGCACAGCGTTGCGCCAGAGAGGGTGATCGGCGAGATGCTCCGGGAGGTGAAGTGCCGCCCACATGAGGCAGATGGCGTCGTCTGCCGATTCCTTCGCACACGACGCCCCTTCCCCGTAGAAGTCTTCGATGCACTGCTTCTTCGCTCCACCCGCACACGCCTCGATCGCCATCTCCTCCGCCTTCTTCTTCCCTTCCCTGCGGGCGTGTTTGCCTTCGTACAATTCGCGGACGGCGCCGCGGTCAGCAGAAGGGATAGGCGCCTTGCAAAGACGGACGTCCTTCCGTTTCAGCCCTTTCCAGCGCGTGATGTGTTGCGCGCAACGGAAGGCGCCCCCTACGAACTTAAGCTTGCAGTGCCGGCATATGCGGAGAGTACGCTCAGGACCATTCGAGGTACCTTCGGTAGAGGTAAGGAAATGCTTAAAAATAACATGGGTGTTCACAGGAACATCCTCGTCGTCCGCCATGGTCGCGTCATTCGAAACACTAGGAGCCTCACAAGTGGCACTTGCGGGAGTACCAGAAGGAGTCGACATCAAGTGCAAGTGAGCGGGAGTGTTGAGAGAGAATGAACGAGGAGAGAGATAATACAGATGACGGGAATGAGAGCTTACCTTATAGTCCAGGATGTGGTTGAACCACCTACGCTGGTTGACGACATTCGTGTTTGTGTGTTGGAGTCGCGCGATAGCATAGGGTGCAGTGCGGTTCAAATTTTCCCACGTCCCCACATTTTGACAGGTGTGGGTGACAATGTGGTTGGGACGTGCGTACAAATTGGGGTGGGACGTGCGTACATTTTGAGTCGCGTCGCACATTCGCAATTCGTGCGCGACTATTGAAATCTGGTTTTTTTTCGGGTCAGCCCGAACTTTCGCCAACGAATATACGTACGACTTGCGTACACCGTATATTCGTAAACGACTATACGGAGTGCGCTTATGGTTTCTGGCGACTTTTCCAACATAGCCGTGAACTGTCATAGAGTGTCGCCGCGCAGAGGCAAGAGTCGTGTCTGTTGCTTGTTGTGGGTCCACCACTCGCCACCTGCTTTCTAACCTTCTTCTATGTGTGTCTCTCTCTCCCCCCGCGTGTGTGTGTGTGTGTGTGTCTCTCTCTCTCCCCCCATGTGTGTGTCTCTTTCTCTCTCCGAATGTGTGTGTGTGCCTCGTGGCCTGCGAGACGGAGAGCAATGGCAGCACGTGGATGCCTCAAGTGAAGGCGTGGCGCAAAACTGGGAGAGCAGCGGACAGATCATGGTACGTGCCAGGGGGTGCTTGCAGGGGGGCTGTGAATCGAGTCGTAGCGAGTCGCCGCGCAGAGGCAGGAGTCGTGTCTTGTTCTTGTCTTTGCCACTCGCCTCCTTTTTTGCTGCTCCTAACCCTCCCTTGTTGAGCCGCTTCTGTGTGTGTGTCTCTCTCTCCCCATGCGTGTGTGTGCCTCACGTCCTGCGAGACGGACAGGAATGGCAGCGAGTGGATAAGGACTGTGCATGTGCGTGTGGGGGAAAGGGGGGAAGGCGGTGGGGTGTGCATGTGTGCGTGTGTGTGTGTGCATGCCTCTGAGTGTGCCTCTCAGCCTCCAAGCTCCGGAGTGTGGCGGATTGCTCGTGGTGCAGCTGTGGGAGAGCAACGGACGGAGCATGGTACGTGCCAGGGGGTGCTTGCAGGGGGGCTATGAAGTGAGTCGCCGCGCAGAGGCAAGAGTCGTGTCTCTTGTTCTTGTTTCTGCCACTCGCCTCCTCTCCTGTTGCTCCTAACCCTCCCTTCTTGCGCCGCTTCTGTGTGTGTGTGTTTTGTCTACCCATGATTGTGAGGACGGAGGGGTGGGGAGGAGTGGAAGGGGAGGGGTGGAACGAGGGGGGTGGGAGGGAGAGAGGAGGGGGTTGGGGATAGGAGGGCGGCGCCTGTCTTTGTGTGCGTGTGCGTGGGTCTCTCAGGCTCCAAGCCGTGCAGTGCGGTGTGCTTTGTCCAGTGGTTGCAGCGGATCACCAGTGGCTGCAGCGACTGCAGGATGATGGCAAGCACACACCGACTTGTGAGTGGAGCAGATCAATGTGTATACCGCTATTCCATTCACCATTTTCCTGCTTTCTCTTATGCAGTTCTACTATGTCTACCTTCTTGCCACACTGGTGCCCGTTACTGTGTTACCAGATGTTCATGCCACTGTCCTCAGCTGTCAAATCCTTCCTCTCTGCCCATCTTCTCTTCTCTGCTCTCCTCTCTTCCATGGCCCGCAGAGCAGCACGTTTCACCCAGCACCAGCAGCACGGGCAGCATCGGTGGCAGCAGCACCAGCAATGGTGGCAGGAGCAGTTGGAGCATCCATGGCCACTGCAGTGTTTGCTGCTGTAGCAATGGAAGGGTGAGTACAGCTTAGTCTAGTGCTTCCGATTTCCCTTAAAGTGCTGTTTTTCATATGGCTTGCGTTGTTATCTTTGCTTTGATGTCTTTCTTGTCTCCCTTCATCCGTCTCCTCATGCTGCTCGTCCTCCTTTTTCTCTGTGTCCTATTATTATGGTCACCTGGTCTCCATCCCTCTCCCTTTGTCTGTCTCCTTGTGTTGCTCTCTTGCTTTCTCCCCTCTCTATGCCCCACGGTTGTTCCTGGCAGCATCTGTGGTGGAAGCAGTGGCAGCAACATCGGTGCTGTGTATTCTACATGGTAGGTGTGATGGGAGATTCTAAAAGAAGGAGTTGCTGGTCTTGCTAATGGCTATCTCTGGGGTAGGTAGTACGTTTCTCACTTCATGCTTACTTCACAATGGCGACCTGGCATGAACATTATAAACAACTCTTTTGTGCCCTTGAATCAGGTTCACTTCTCTGTGGTGATGTGCGCTTTTGCAGCTTCTAAGTGGCTCTCTGTTCTCTCTGTTCGCTCGCGTCCGCTTTCTTCCATGTCCCGTTGCTGTCCCGTCGGCATCTCAGAGGTGGCTCTTCTGTGGTGAAGTGCAGGGCAGGGTAGAGGACTGTCAACTTACTCTTGAGTCTTGAGAAGGACATCTGGGCTGCCGCATGGCGGTGGTCCGTGGACAACCAAGAGCTCAAGATGGACCGCCGCTGTACTTAGCCGTGCATTGGTTTGCTTGGGTGTGCTTAAGTTAAGTGTGCTTAGCTGTGCTTTGGTTTGCTTGGGAGTGCTGTGTTGTGCTGTGCTGTGGTGGGATGGGCCTGCATGTTGTGGAATAGGTGGGTGGGGTGGGCAGCCTGGAAGACGCCTGGGCACAAACACCCAAACCGGACGGAGTGTCCTCCTGCAGGTGATGTGCTGTGCCGTGGCATGATGAGGGCCTGGCTGCGACAGGCCAAGCACTCGTTCATGGCCCTGAGTGAGAGTGAGGTGCTGCTGTGTCAAGTGCAGTAACCGCAGGCATGACAGACAGCCATGCTGTGCAGCAAGAGTACAGTAGACGCCACTCAGTTGTACACTCAGATGTACTATTGCTGCATCCTCCATCCCTGCATCTGCAGCTGCCATCCCACACCCACCACCCCCAACATCAATCAACTAGCCAACCAGCCGACCAGCTAAGATTGCAAGGCAAGCAACATAGCAGCCAAGCAGCTCCAGCCAGACCCAGGGCGGGGACACACCAAACAGAGACTGGTGCGGAGGCAAAAGGGTATTGGGGTCAGTTCTGTTTTTAACTAGTATCTTAAGCAATGGGTGAAGTGGCTAGTAAGTGTGTCAAACGTGATAGCTTGATAACACACATCCCTGCTTGCCACATTCAAGAAGATAGTTGATATGATTACAGTTATATTCAAGATCTGTCTCCATCTCGTTACGCCTTTTTTCAGAGTCGCACTTATACCTCATACCGGTACATAGTCATTGTGAAGCGAGGATTCGTGCGTGGTGTGGTGTCAGCGGCGGTTCAAGGGACAGATTTTGTCTGGCTTCATAATCCATTCCTCCCTCCATAGTTGCACCCCCCTGGCTCGTCGTGGATATCTGAGCCTTGGGATTGTCGAAACCAGCCTTTCCAGCTGCCAGTCCTAGGTCGTCGTTAACTCTCCCGCCTGGAATGGTGATAGTCGATCGCGCTGCTGTTTAACCTTTCGCCGGATTAGGCTAGCGGGTCATCAGGCGAAGCGAAGCCCAGTCCCTGATGTGTCTCTGACATATCGCATTCGCCGGGAGCCGTCAAATCGCATCGCACGGTTCTAAATCTCCGCGGCAGTCTTGATGGCGACATCGTATCCTGCTGTCTCGGGTCACTCGAGGCCCGCGTACCAACTACCTCTGGTCAAGTCTTATCATAAACCCAAACCCGCCCGCGTCATCCTTTCTCCGATTTCTCGCTCTCAGCTGCTAGGGATCCGACTTCCAGTCATCTCGGTTCCTAGGGTTACAACCCGTTATACGGTCCCCGATATAGTCACATCGTCGAGTAAACAACCTGGTGTCTTGACTCGATTAAGAAGAGAGGTTGTTGGGCCAGTATTTGCTGCGAGGTGCAGTCCGGTACCGCAGTGCGGCAATGGGGGTGAATGTGAGAGCAAGCAGCACAGGAGGGTCGTTCGGTCGTTAGCGTCGTCGTCTGATTCCGAGTCGTGGACGACGGTTGTCGGCGGAGCAAGCGACGGCGACGCAGCTAGTGCGACACGTGCGACAACTGCGACGGGTTCGGCGGCGAGCGGCGGCCAGGAGCAGGCTTTGTCGCAGGATGGATCGCACGCGCAAGTCAAGGCGGTGGGGGGGGGAGCGGGAGTGAATGGTCAGGTGGAGGGGTTTAGAACGGTGGATGGAGGTTCGGAGGGGGGAGAGGAGGACGACGAGGAGGAATGGGAAGAGGAGGAGGATGAGGAGGAGGAGGATGAGGAGGAGGGAGAGGAGGAGGAGGAGGAGGGATGGGAGGAGGAGGAAGAAGAGGAGGAGGAGAGTGAGGAAGAGAGGAGGGAGAGGAGGCAGCAGTCGGAGCAGTGGCTGCTGAATTTCGACAAGCTCGGATCCACAGGTGAGCTTGGCTTCACAGGTGTGCATTTCGGTTCCACAAGTGAGGTCGCCTTCTAAGCTGTCCACTTGGGTGGCGAGAAGACGAGAGGGGTGGGCGCGATTTATGCTGTGTGTGAGTGTGCACGAGCGTGCCAGTGTGATGTGCTCCGAATGTTCAACGCTGTGGGAAGTGGCGGGATAGGCTGGTGGGCCGTGGCGCTCGTTTCGCGCCGGCAGAAATACTCGTCTTCTGGCAGTTTTTCAGACCAAACAGTTTCTCCCCTCTCCTCTCCCCTCCTACCCCTCCCCTTTCTCCCGTCCACCCCCTTCTCGCCTCCCCCTTCCCCAGTGCCGGTATCCGCGCTGGACGCGCAGCAGCTGCGCCTGTACTTCGCGGAGTCGCTGGCGCGCAGCAGCCGTGCGGGCGCGGGGGAGGAGGTGGAGGCGCGCATGGCGGAGATGCGCCGCCTGGGTCTCCGGGCGGGCGCGCGCGCGCACCACGCCGCAGTGGTCGTGCACACGTCCAAGGGGGACCTCTTTGAAGCGGTAAGGCGGGTGTTGCGGCGTATCTGTTAGTTGGGAGGGGAAGGGGGCGAGAGGAGAAGGGGGAAAAAGGGAAGGGCGGCAAGGGGAGAAGGGGGAAAAAGGGAAGGAGGGTAAGGGGAGAAGGGGGAAAAAGCGAAGGAGGGCAAGGGGAGAAGGGGGAAAAAGGGAAGGAGGGCAAGGGGAGAAGGGGGAAAAAGAGAAGGGGGGCACGCGGGCGCACCACGCCATTGTGGTCGTACACACAGTCAGGGGGGACCTCTCTGAAGCGGTGAGCGGACTGCTGCCGCGTGCCTATTCACCGGGAAGAGGGGAAAGGAGTCAAATGTCCTTTGAGTCGGTTTGAACAAGTCTTGAAAGACGTCTCTGGTCGTTTCATGTGGTGTGGCTGAGAGCCTGAGAGCGAGACGAACCATCACGAGCCTCCCAGCGTCCCTTCCGCGTCTTCCCGCGCTTGCATCGAATTCCCCGTCTCCCCTGTTCCCCTGTGGAGAATGCTGCGCGTGAGCGGCAGGCAGAAAGGCACCATCTGCCTTTAAATGCCTCCCCATCCTCCCTCCCCTCCGCCCCCTGCCCTTCTCCCCATCAGCGTCGTGCCCTGCGGCGCATGCTGAACAGCGGCGTGTTTCCGCTGTACGAGACGCTGGTGGCGGTGCTGCGGCTGAGTTTAAACTCATAAACATATCCCCTCTTTCCCACCGTCACCCTCCTCTCCCCTTACCGCCTGTTCCCCTCTTATCAGCGCCGGGCGTTACAGCGCATGTTGAACAGCGGCGTGTTTCCGCTGTACGAGACGCTGGTGGCGGTGCTGCGACTGAGTTTAAACTCATAAACATATCCCCCTTTCCCACCGTCACCCTCCTCTCCCCTTACCGCCTGTTCCCCTCTTATCAGCGCCGGGCGTTACAGCGCATGTTGAACAGCGGCGTGTTTCCGCTGTACGAGACGCTGGTGGCGGTGCTGCGGCTGAGCGGCAGGCAGAGAGGCACAGTGCCTCTCTTACCCCCTACTCACCATCCTCTCTCCATTTCTCCTCCATTCCCTCTCCCCTTATCAGCGCCGCGCCATGCGCCGCATGTTAAACAGCGGCGTGTTCCCGCTGTACGAGACGCTGGTGGCGGTGCTGCGGCTGAGCGGGCGGAGGGGGCAGGTGGAGGAGGGGGAGGGCATCCTCGCGCTCATGGGGGAACTGCAGCTCAATCAGCGGGCGGCGTGGGTCGTCCTTATCGGTGAGTGACAAGGGCGGCTTGGTGGAGCGGGGGGGTGGGGTGGGCAGAGCTTCGGTTCTGAGGGATATAGCCCACAACAAACGCCTTCCTTCTCGTTTCTTGCGCCTCCACGTTTCTTTCTCTTCCCTCCCTGTCCCCCTCCCCTGCTTCAACCCCTTCGATCCCCTGCTCGCCACTGCTCGCATTCCCACGCAACCCCTTGCGAGCCAACCACCAGAGTATTTTTCATCCGGTCTACTCCCCAAAGCGCCTCAACTTCAGAGTCTTTCAGCTCTTAAGAACGCCCTCCCATCCCCACTCCGCCGTCCCCCACCCCTGTTCCTCCAGAGGAGCTATTTGCATCGGGCAGTCATGCGGAGGGCAAGGCGCTGCTTCTAAGAGGAGTGGAGGACGGGATGTGGCCCACAGCAGGCCTCATAGACACGGTGGTGGAGAGCAGCTGCCGGGAGGGAAGGCATGCGGACGCACATGACGTGATGAACGCTCTGGAGCAGCGCGGATGGACGCCTGCCACGTTCCACCATAACTGCGTGCTCATGAGCATGGTGCGTGGCGTGTAGGGAGGGAGGCGCATGGGCATGGGGCATGGGGCGTGTTACAGAGTGCAGTGTAGAGTGGTTTCGGTGGGATGTGCGGAGAGGGATGGACGCGCCCGCCACGTTCCACCACAACTGCGTGCTCATGAGCATGGTGCGTGGGGGGTGACAGGGTGGGGGGAGAGTGGGGGGAGGTGGGGGTTTCCACCATAACTGCGTGCTCATGAGCATGGTGCGTGGCGTGTGTGGGAGGGTGGGGTCGTGGGGCTGGCGTATCTATTGGGGAAGCAAGCACCTCTATCTCTCTCCTCGTTCCTGCTTATGGCTCTTGCCCTCTAACCAGAGCAGGAGGGGGGTGCCGGACAGAGCAGAGCACAAGTCTATTTTTGAGGAGCTTTTGAGTCGACTCAAAAATCGACTTATCACACAGGAGGGGGGTGCCGGACAGAGCAGAGCACAAGTCTATTTTTGAGGAGCGTCATTCTTAGACCCCCCACCCGCCCTCCTCCCCTCCCACCAGACGGCAAGACGGGCGTGTCAGACATAGTGGTATTGAAGCTGGAAGCCATGTTGCACCACCCCTCAATCTCCCTCTGCCCCCCTCCCACCCCTCGTCAACTATCACTCTTACCCCTCCACCCCACGCGGGTGTGACGGCCTCTCCAAGCTAGGCTCGGGGGTGGGGGATATGATTCTGACTCAACCACATCAACACCAACCCCCCTTCCCCCACCCGCCCCCCTCCCCCCCCCTCCTCCCCTCCCACCAGAGCAAGGCGGGCGTGCCGGACGTTGCGGTGCAGAAGCTGGAAGCGATGGTGGAGGAGCAACGCGGTGAGTGGGACGAGGTGGGGTTGAGGGCGGGTGGTGCAAATGCGGGCGAGGGGGGTATGCGTGGGTACATAAGATGGGCATGCCGGAACTTGCAGTGCAGAAGCTGGAGGCCATGGTGGAGGAGCAACGCGGTGACTGGGAGGGCTGGGGTTGTGGGCGGGCCGCGAGGGATGTTGCGGATGGCGGAGAGGGGGGGTGGGGTTATGCGTGGGCACATAAGGCGGGCGAGTTGGACATTGCAGTGCAGAAGCTGGAAGCCATGGTGGCGGAGCAACGTGGTGAGTGGCAGGAGTGGGGAAGGAGGAGTGAGGGCAGGAGGGTGGGTGAGGTTGGGCGCGGGTGAGTGGGTGCGGATGAGTGGGTGCAAGTGAGTGAGAAAAGATTCCAGAGAAGATGGGTGAGGTGAGGTGATGTTTTGAGATGCTTCATGTGTATCATGTGTCCCATGTGTGCCCCATGTGTGCCCCATGTGTGCCCCATGTGTGCCCCATGTGTGCCCCATGTGTGCCCCATGTGTGCCCCATGTGTGCCCCATGTGTGCCCCATGTGTGCCCCATGTGTGCCCCATGTGCACTGCCCTCCACACTTGCATGCCATACACTCCATGGCTACAGAGGGGCTGAAGGAGAGTCGCAGGGAGGGCAAGCCTGACGTGCACTCCTACAACTGGGTGCTTGAGGCTTTCGCCGCACACCCCCAGGAGAGGTGAGTGAGTCACAGCAAAGGGTTGATAAACTGAGCCCCCAGTCCTCGTTTGTGAGTCTGGCTGGGCCCCAAATATGTGCATCGATTGCATCTGCTCAACCAATGTCATTTCAATGACGCTCTTCACATCACATCACATCACATCACATCACATCACATCACATCACATCACATCACATCACATCACATCACATCATATCACATCACATCACACTTGAGATCTTCTACGCCCTGCCCCCTGCCACATGCCCCCCTCCGCCCCCCCCCCCCCTCTCCCCGGCATGGCAGGTACGAGGACACGTTGGAGTTCATTGGGCGCATGGTGGAGGACGGCACCGTGCACCCCAACGCCCTGCCCTCATGCTCCCTGCCCCGTGCCCCCTGCCCCCTGCTCCCTGCTCCCTGCCCCCTCCCCCACATGGCAGGTACGAGGACACGTTGGAGTTCATAGGGCGCATGGTGGAGGACAGCACTGTGCACCCCAACGCCCTGCCCTTGCTCCCACGCCCTGCCCTCATGCCCCCGGCTCCCTTGCCCCTGCTTCATGCCCCCTGTCCCCCTCCCGCCTCCGCTGCATGGCAGGTACGAGGACACGTTGGAGTTCATAGGGCGCATGGTGGAGGACAGCACAGTGCACCCCAACGGCAAGACCTACGCGTACGTGCCCTCGCCTCCCATGCCCTGCTTGTACCCTGGCTACAGCTTGCTTGACTGCGAGTATGTGACTATGTGCACGTATCTTTCTCCACGTTGCGTGCACTCGCCTTTCCTCCCATCGGGCGCATGGTGAGGACAGTACCGTGCAGGGTGGTGCAGTACCGTGCACTGCATCCCAACGGCAACACCTATGCGTATGTGCCCTGCCCTCCAACTGTCCTGTGCTTGCCTTGTCCATGCCCTCACTACCTTGCTTGCCTCTGTCTGTGCCCTTACTTCCTATCAGAGGCCGTGCGTCACTTCCCCACACACCTGTTTCCCATACCCTTATTACCTGCCTTCCCGCCACCCTTATCTTCCCCTCTCTGCGTCCCCTCCCCCGCCCCTCCTCCTCTCCCCGGCCTGCTAGTGGAGATATTGTGTCAGGACTGGAACTTCTTATCAGAGGGTGTGCGCCACTTCCCCTCCACACCTTTTTCCCATGCCCTTGTCCCCTGCCTTTTCCCCCCATCCTCCATCTTTGCGCCCCCTTCCCCCCCAACTTTTCTCCCCCTCCCCTCCCCAGCCTGCTAGTGGGGATATTCTGCAAGGACTGCAACTTCCTATCAGAGGCAGTGCGGCACTTTCCCCTGCATCTGTTCCCCATAGCTGTGTTCCCTGCCTTTGCCGCTCCCCCGCCCCTCTCTTTTTTCCCCTCCCCTAGTCTGCTGATCGAGATATTCTGCAAGGACTGGAACTTCCTATCAGAGGCAGTGCGGCACTTCCGGGCCCTGCAGCGCCTGCCAGGCCAGATGGGCTGCCTCGACGTGCAGAGGGGCGACCGCTACCACGCCACTGCTCTCTTCCTCAGAGCGCTCTGCCGAGCAGGTGGGTTGTCAGCTGATGTTTGTTCTAGGCGAGTCAACAAAGTTGGACATGCAGAGGGGCGACCGCTACCACGCCACTGCTCTCTTCCTCAGAGCGCTCTGCCGGGCAGGTGGGTCCCGACTTGTGAGGCGCCTCAAAGGTCCGATCCGATAGCGTATACATGGGCAAACGAGTCGAGTTTTTACTAGACTCGTTTGAAGTACTCGAAAATAACGAGTTTCGAGTTCTGATTTTGGTAAAAAAAGCTCGTGAAAACGAGTCGATTTTTACTCGCGAGTTTAAAAAAACTCGTGAAAAACTCGGCTAGACAGGCGAGTTACCCATAACTCGCGAGTTTTTTTTCACTCACGAGTTTTGTTTAACCTAGACGAGTTTTAAAAAACTCGTGCATCAAATGGTCCACCACGGGGGAGTACAAATGTCTGTTTCTGGGTTAATATGCTGCTGGAGGTGTGGCTCGCTGTTTTGGATGTGTTCCACCACTTAATTGTGAACACTAGTGCAGCTGGCGTGGCGGTGAGTAGCTTTTTTGGAAAGTGAAAGGGGGGAGGAGAGGTGGGGCTGGCTGGGTCGTTTGTGGGTGTTGACACGTGTGGCAGTTTTCTGGGCACCCTACAACTGTTTTCGTGTGGCTGGGGTTTTAGGTTAGGGTAGTGTTTAACTTCGAGTCGAGTTTTACTTGACTCGGACGAGTTTTTTTAAGGCTCATCCGAGTTTTCAAGAAACTCGACTTTGGGGCCGAGTTTCGAGTTAGCATTTTGACCAAAAAAACTCGACGAGTAAAACTCGAGTCGACTCATCAAAGGGAAAAAACTCGTCAAAACGAGTCAAGTAAAACTCGACTCGCCATTTGCCCATGTATACGATAGCGGCTGCCAGGCCAGATGGGCTGCCTGGATGTGCAGAGGGGCGACCGCTACCACACTACTGCGCTCTTTCTCAGAGCGCTCTGCCGGGCAGGTGGGTTCGTGTGACAGCAGGCAAGTGAGCTTCTCGGCTGATGGGGAAGAATGGAATGTTGTGAGTTTCTTTTCCTCGTTTCTCGCGTTCCTCCCCTTCTCCCCCGCTCGCTCGCTGCCCCAGCTCCTCCGCAGGTCTGCCCCAGGTGACGACTTTTGAGGCGCCTCAAAACTCAAAAGTCTGCCGCAGGTCATCCTGCGGAGGTGCATGTGTGCAGGAGATGCAGGAGATGCTGCAGGCCATCCTACTTGATGCCATGATTTTCCTCTTTCCCTCTTACCCTCCTGCTCGCAGGTCTGGTGCAGGAGATGCAGGAGGTGCTGCAGGCGATGGTGCGAGACAGAGTGAGGCTGCCAGAGTCGGCACTGCTGGTGGACAAGCGCACCCGGCGCACACTGGTTTCGGCATGGATGCAGCCGTGCGACATGGAACCCGACTATGGGCAGCCCACTGATTACATTCAAAGGTATGAGATTTAACATGAGTATAATCAGGTGATGGGTATAATCTTCATGACAATCATCTCCAGCACTGGTATCAGCATGGATGCAGCCGTGCGACATGGAACCCGACTATGGCCAGCCCACTGATTACATTCAAAGGTGAGATGTCAGCATCAGTATCAGCATCAGCATCAGCATCAGTATCAGCATCAGCATATCAGCACCAGCATCAGCATCAGCATCAGCATCAGCGCATCAGCATCAGCATCAGCATCAGCATCAGCATATCAGCACCAGCATCAGCATCAGCATCAGCACCAGCACCAGCACCAGCATCAGCATCAGCATGAGCATCAGCATCATCAGCGGTGCACGCTGGTGTGCGCATGGAAGCAATGGTGACATGGAGCCAGCCTAGAGCCAGCCTAGAGCCAGCCTAGAGCCAGCCTAGAGCCAGCCTAGAGCCAGCCTAGAGCCAGCCTAGAGCCAGCCTAGAGCCAGCCTAGAGCCAGCCTAGAGCCAGCCTAGAGCCAGCCTAGAGCCAGCCTAGAGCCAGCCTAGAGCCAGCCTATAGCCAGCCTATAGCCAGCCTATAGCCAGCCTATAGCCAGCCTATAGCCAGCCTATAGCCAGCCTATAGCCAGCCTATAGCCAGCCTATAGCCAGCCTATAGCCAGCCTATAGCCAGCCTATAGCCAGCCTATAGCCAGCCTATAGCCAGCCTATAGCCAGCCTATAGCCAGCCTATAGCCAGCCTATAGCCAGCCTATAGCCAGCCTATAGCCAGCCTATAGCCAGCCTATAGCCAGCCTTCTGGCTTCACCCCTTCTTGTAGACAGAAGCTTTTATCTTGTGCGCATGTGCCCATACCCCCACCAGAGCCGCAGAGGAGTCGGAGGAGTGGAGCAGGCAGAGGAGGGAGAAGAGGGGCATGGAGCGGCACGGGGGGTGGTGGCGGGTCAAGATGGAGACGGACGAGCTGCCGGGCTTCTGGCTGCTCTCTCCTCTCTCACCCACCCTTCTGTCGTGATCTGATCCCTTCTGTATTATCTGCCCTTTTGCCTGTGTTCCTGTGTTCCTGTGTGCCCCTACCCCCCGAATGCACCTGTCCTGTACCCCCACCAGGGCTGCGGACGAGTCGGACAACTGGAGTGTGGAGAGGAGGGAGAAGAGGGACATGGAGCGCCACGGGGGGTGGTGGCGGGTCAAGATGGAGACGGACGAGCTGCCGGGCTTCTGGCTGCCGCCGCCCACGGTGTCGTTCGAGGAGAGCCTTGTGCGGCGCTTTAGGGCCTACCGCAAGCAGCTCTACTACACACTCATGTGGCGGGTGAGAGCGTGGATGGGGGAGAGAGAACAGTTGAGTACGGTTGAGTGCAGTTGAGTGTGGTTGAGTGCAAGGTGAGCGAATTCATTACACTCTTCTGGCTGCCACCCCCCATCGTGTCGTTCGAGGAGAGCCTTGTGCGCCGCTTCAGGGCCTACCACAAGCAGCTCTACTACACACTCATGTGGCTGGTGAGAACACTTGAGTGCGGTAAACTGCGGTTGAGTGCGGTAGAGTGTGGTTGAGTCTCCATCCAGCCCTTATCCCTCCATCCACCTTACTTATTCCGCCCTCTCATCTCCCCCACTACCCCTCCCATCTTCCAGGGAGTGGCAGCATGGCCGGCAGAACTGGGAGTGAGCAAGGAGGAGGCGGTAGAAGTGGCGGAGTGGCTGGAAATGGAGTTACAAATCCAGGGCCCCACAGGGGCGGGCGCAGGCACTCCCATGGGCGGAGGCGGATCCGCCCTGCTCCCAGCCGCATCTTCTGCTGCCGGTGCTTCTTCTAGTGGTGATGCAGGCACTGCTGCTGGCACTGCCACGACCAGCACCAGTGCTGCTGGTTCTTGGGGCCTAACCGGGGGCTTGACGGGGGGCCTGACGGGGGGGTTGATGGGGGCGAGGGGGGGGGCGAGGGCGCCCAAGGCGGCGAGCAAGATGGTGGTGGGGGAGCTGCGGCAGGAGCTGGCGGGGCAGGGGCTGCCCACCGATGGCAACCGTGCCGTGCTGTATGCTCGCGTGCAGCGGGCGAGAAGGCTCAACAAGGCGCTGGGGAAGCCGCTGTGGACGCCCCAGACCAGAGAGCCCGTGATGCAGGTGGGTGGTGAGCGCGGTGCAGGTGGGTGGTGATGGTGGTTGATCAGCAGAGTGGCATGGTTGAGGAAACTGCTCTCGACTCTGTCAGCTCACCCTTGTGTATAAAGAAGATTTTTGAGACGTCTCAAAAATCTTCTTTATACGCGTGTCAGCTCACCCTTGCCACGTGCACGATTCCCCTTCCACCTTCCACCATCGTTGGTCCAGGTTAATGAAATGATAGACTCCTCTTTCCCATTACCTTCCCCACATCCCCCTGCTCTTACAGGCGAGCGCAAGAGTGGAGTATCTGTTGGAGCACCTGACCCTGGACGGCACAGCGGCGTCGTGGCCGCAGGTGATCGAGACATGATTGACTCAGGTCCTTCCCATACTTTCCCCTGTAACCCCCTGGCTTTACAGGCGAGCGCAAGGGTAGAGTATTTGTTGGAGCACCTGGCCCTGGACAGCACAGCGGCGTCGTGGCCGCAGGTGATAGAAATGATGAGGGAATCCCGCTCCCCTTGACTATTCCTCTTTTCTCTCCTGTGTCGCCACTTGTGCAGGCGAGTGCAAGTGTGGAGTATCTGTTGGAGCACCTGACACTGGGTGGCACAGCGGCGTCGTGGCCGCAGGTGATAGAGATGGCCGAATTAACCTTTTCATTCCTTCCCCTGTAACCCTCTTGTTTTGCAGGCGAGCGCAAGGGTAGAGTATCTCCTGGAGCACCTGACCCTGGACGGCACAGCGGCGTCGTGGCCGCAGGTGATAGAGATGATGAGGGAGAGTGAGCGGCGGGCGAGTGAGGCGCAGCAGCAGCGCGAGCAGGACGAGCGGCAGCGGGAAGCAGACGAGAAGCAGCGGGCGGCCGACGAGCGGCAGCGCGTGGAAGACAAGCGGATCCGGGCGGCGCTGTCCGGCGGGGAGGAAGAGGAGGAGCAGGAGGAGGAGGAGGAGGTTGACGAAGAGGAAGATGAGGAAGATGAGGAAGAGGATGAGGATGATGAAGATGAAGAAGAGGAGGAGGAATTAGAGGTGGATGATGTGATAGATGATGAGGAGGATGAGGACGAAGAGGAGGAGGGGGCGGTGGGGGAAGAGGACGAGGCGGTGGACGAGGAGGAGGTGGCGCCGGGGCAGGCGGGCGGCATGCTGGGCGGCGGAGCAGAGAGGGAGGTCTCGGTGCTGGCCATGGAGGAGGAGGGCGTGCGGGGCGGCGGCGGGCTGCTCACGTCGCAGCTTGTGGGCGGCAGTGCGGGCGGCGGTGGTGGGAGCGCAGCGGGAAGAGCCAAGGCCAAGTCGTCGGTGAGTTTAGATGCATGTGCTCATGTACTCGTCGCAGCTTGTGGGCTACCGTCCTCTCTCATTCTTTCATGCTCTCATGTACTCGTGCTCCTTTTCTCCCTTTCTCTTTCCCCCATGTACGACAATGAGGACAAGGGTGAGGTGCATGCAGCAGGCAGAAAACACTAAACAGCAAAGGCACTCAACTCCTCCCTCTCCCATACCCTCCTGCTTCTCCCCATCCCCTCCCCCTCCCCCAGGATCTGTACGACGATGAGGACGAGGGGGAGGTGCACGCAGCAGCGCCGGCCATCCTGGCGGGGTCAGCAGCGCAGGCAGCAGAGGAGGACGAGGAGATGCAGGCGTTCCGCGCAGAGGAGGACCTCATACCGCTCTCCACCACTCTGGACGGCATCTTCACCTTGGAGGAGCGGTGGGGGCACTGGTGGGAGCGGGCTGACAAGGAGCGGGTCGTGCTGCCGTGGAGTGAGCGCATGGAGCTCGACAGCGCTTGGAGCATCTTTCAACTGGTGAGGATGAGAGGAAGTGACAAAGTGACAATAAGGGAGTGAGGCATTGGTGCAAAGAGATGATGATACGATGCGACGAGCGAATGAGTCTGTCCCTCTCACCATTCCCACTGCCCGTGCCATTTGTTGCTCCCTCAGGTGATTGAGCTGGGCGGCGTTCCGTCCCTGGCAGACTGCTGCATGGTGCTGTGGGCGGCAGTGGACGGCAACGATTGTCGTATTATGCAGGGGGTGGTCGAGAAGTCGCACATGATTGGTCACAAGTTCGGCATGTGAGTGAAACGTTAAGCATTTCCCTTGGTGTACATTGTAAGCATGTCTCTTACCACTCCGTATCACGCATTCTGACATGGTTATGGAGCTTATAAGGATGTTGCATACATTCGATGCAAGCCTGCTTCTCTTCTCACCCTTGCTCCGTCCGAAATTGTCGCTTTTCTGCCCTTTCATTCCTAACCAACCGCCTCTGCTTCCTGATCCTTGCTCTGCCATCCCGGTCTGCTCTCCCTCGCTCCCTGCCTTCCTCTGTTCTCCTCCGCGTCACTTGCAGCAACCTCTACAAGACGGTGGTCAACACGTGCCTTGGGCTCCTGCAGATTGACACAGCAGTTGCAATCTTGGAAGATATGCAGCAAGCGGGCGTCCAACCAGGCGATGACATGTGGCAGCATGTGGAAGAGGCCCGCCAGGTGGCGGCTGAGCGGGTCGTTGAGGAGCAACGGCGGCGAGAGGCTGCTGAGGTGGCGGCTGCAGAAGCGGCAGCTGCTGATGTGGCGGCTGGTGCCATAACTGGTGAAGTCCCACCATTCATGCAAGGCGAGAGTGGAGCTGTCGGGAGAGAAGCAGGTTTGGATAAAAGTGGAGCCTCCGGGGGGGGGTTATCAAGTGAATTGGACAAATGAGAGTAAAAGAACACCTGGTTATCATAGCGACTGCATATTATTGTTTGAAGCCTGTGGAATAACTACTCTCAGTGCTGTGCCCGCACAAAAAGTGTGGAGCATGTGAATTTTTTTTTTCTTTTTATACGGTAGGACGTTTCATTTTTGTGAGGCAATTTTGTGAATTTATGAAATGCAGGGTAACAAATTGTCTGCAGCGTGTAGAACCTCTTCGCCCTCAGCGTGTCACTTGAACTGGTAAGATCGACGGTCACAGTCAACAAATTGCCGCTCTGTCAGGTCAGGTTGCGAAAATGTCTTCAAGCTTCAAGTGCATTTTCGCAATGAATACAGTGCAGTGCAGTACCCATACCAAGCTTGGCTATTACTGTACTATACCATAGGGAGGGTCAGTGGATGTCACCTGCCTACTGCCCTGCCCTGCCCCACCCAACCACAGGTAAACCCTAACATCATCCCTCCCTCGCTTTGTGGACTAACATCTTTGTCCTTATTTCTTCCCCTACCCAATTCTCCTATCGATTCTTGAATCTTGATCCTCGCCATTCCTAACTCTGCCGCTATATTTCTGCGCCCTAGGCTTACCGATTGCTAATACGGTTCAGTAAAGCTTCAAATATATCGGAGCTGAGTGCAGGTGAAAACGAGCCGCCATGTATAACGGCATAGGGCTTCAGACGGCCCGCGGGTCAGGCACGAACGGGTACGTGCAGGCGAACAAATTCGTGATTCGCCACCGGCACACGAAGTTCGAGGCGAAAGAGTTCCAGGAAGGCGCGGGAACGGGCGGAATTAGCCGCAAGGCGAACAAAGAGATCCTGGAGCATGATCGGAAGCGGCAGATCGAGCTGAAGCTGCTGCTGCTGCGCGAGACGCTGGAGGAGCAGGGGTACCTGGAGGAGGAGATGGAGGAGCAGATGGAGCAGGCCCGCGCGCAGCTCGAGGCCGCCATGCGGGAGGAATCGGAGGACCAGGCGCTGGAGTCGCTAGGGTGAGTTGACGCTGGAGTCGCTAGGGTGAGTTGACCCAACCACGTGTCTTCGCTGCTGTTCGATTGTGCTAGCTTAGTAGTTCTGTTCGGTGGCTCATTTACTCGCTGATTTTCCGCTCGTTTCTCGACTGCTCGGACTTGCTTAGGGTTTCTCGGCTCCTGATTGTGTTCGATCTTTGCTTTGACTTGTTTTCCGGTCCTTTCGTGGCGACGGTTGGCGACGGGTGGCAGGAACCAGACACATCAGATCGTGGCGCGCAAGGAGAAGAAGATGGAGACGCTCAAGGCCGCTCTACGCATTAACGAGTCTGCTAAAGAAGGGGGACGCGTTCGACCGCGAGCTGCAGGAGCAGCGGCGGCAGGAGCGGCAGCTGGCGCGGGAGGAGGCGGAAGAGGCGCGGCGGCGGGAGGAGAAGGAGCGGGAGAAGGAGGAAAGGCGGAGGGAGAAGCAGAGGCGGAAGGAGGAGAAAGAGATGAAGAAGAGGCTTAAGAAAGAAGAGAAGGCGCGGAGGCGGGCGGAGGAGGAGGCGGCGGAGCGGGAGGAGGAGATGAGGCGGAAGGAAAAGAAGGCGCGTAAGCTCCGGGAAGCGGAGGAGGCGCGGCGGGCGGAAGAGGCGCGGGAGGCGGAGGCGCGGAGGGCGGAAGAGGAAGTTAGGCGGAGGGAGGAGGAGGCGGAGCGCAGGGAGGCGGAAAGGTTGAGAGCAGAGCGGAAGAGGGAGGAAGGGCGACGGAAGGACGAAGGGGAGACGCGGAGGGGAGACGAGAGGAGGGGGAGGGGGAAGGAGGAGGAGCAGGGTAGTGAGCGGAAGAAACAGCGGAGGGACGCGCGCGCCACTGATGCTGCTGATGATGATGAGGGCGAGGACAGGTGGATGGCTGGCAAGAGCATCTCTTTCAAGAAGCGCGAGGGGGTGAGGGAGGGGAGAGGGGAATCGGAGAGCGAGGAGGAGGAGAGGGAGCGGGAGCGGGGGCGGGGGCGGGGGAGGAAGGCGGAACAGGTTGAGAAGGACTCGGAGGGTCGTGGCAGCAGGCAGCAGAGGTCGTTCCGCGCCGAGCCCAAAGACCTCTCGCCCAATCGCCGCTCTGCCTCTCCCAAGCGCGCCCGCTCTCCCAGCCCCAAGCGCTATCGCGCCTCCATCCCCAGAGCCGCCCCTTCCCCCAGTCCCCAGCGCTCTCGTTCCCCCAGCCCTAAACGCGCCGCTCCGCCCACGTTCAAGCGCGCCCGCTCCCCCAGCCCCAAGGGAGGCCGTTCCCCCAGCCCTCAGCGACGGCCAGTTAGGGCTGCTGCTGCTGCCCCTGCCGCTGCCGCTTCCCCCACCAGCTCGTCCGGTCCCTCGTCGCCCTCCTCGTCTCCCTCTCGCTCGCCCTCCAGGTCGCCCGCTCGCTCACCCTCTCCTCCCCGCCGCAGGCAGGTTGCTGCTGCTCCCAGGCCGCGACATGACAGCAGGAGCGCGTCTCCCCCTCCCAGGGGGGCCGAAGGCGGGGGCAGAGGCGGAGTCAGGGGTGGGGGTGGGTGTGGGGGCGGTAGGGGCAAGGGTGGGTCTCCAGAGGTTAGGGGGAGGGAGGATGGGTCCCCTGTACGCAGGGCTGGGGGCAAAGGCAGGAATGTGTCTCCTGCTCCGAGGGGTGGCAAGGGGGATTTGCGGGGGAGCAGGGGCGAGGGCAAGGGGGCAGGGGGGAGGGATGTGTCTCCTGAGGCCAGGGGCGGTCGGGGGGACAGGGAGGGGGGGAGGAGGCGGAGGGGAAGGGACGACGAGAGTGAAAGTGAAGATGAGTCACCGAGAGGGAGGCGGGGAAGGTGACTTGTCAGTTGAGTCAGACGGTGAGGATGAGTTCTTGAGTGGGGGAGACGAGACAGTCGGACGGGTGTCATGGTCGTGATGGCTGTGGATGTAAAGGAGCTGGTGCAACGGATGATGGGGTTGGGTGCGAAGGATGATGGGGTCGGGACAGGCATGGGGAGGATTTTATCATTTTGATGGACGTGCTGTGCATGCATGCGAGGGATGGGAACATGTCGGTCTGCACAATTTGGCCCTGGGAGTATTTGTGCGGTGATGGGAGGTGATTCTGGCAAAGTCGCATCGCGTTTGTGATGAAGAGAACTGCTTATGAAACTGCTTCCAGAATCTGAGCCGCTTTTTGTGATCTCTCCTTGCTTCCCACTGTGTAAACCAAAATATGCTATTGTACATGGAATAAACAAATGGAATAAACAAGGGAAAATGGCAGCATTCTGCCATATGGGATGTCCAGGGCCAGCTTCGCCACCACCTCTACAGTGTGGTTCAGAATGTATCTAACATCTGACTGACAGGGTGGAGTGGAGGCGCCCTAGAACATCTGAATGAAGCCTAGTAGCTGGAACAAATTTCAGCCTTGAAGCAGTGTGGGAGGACCCTTGCTGTGTAGTACCAGATTAACTCCCCTCTGCCTCTTGCGCAATCATGTTGCATGTATCATGTTGACCGGATTAACTCCCCTCTGTCCCTCACCTCACTCTCTGCAGAGAGTTTGTTTGCGAAGCGGTGCACGCACCCACAAAAGCTGATGCCCGAAGCTCAGTATAGTGATGGCCATGTGAAGGCTTATGGCTTTGCTGACGCTGCACCGTCGTGCAGCTGTTACTGTGTGCTGTGTCATCTTCATGCGGCTACGGGAGCAACAGCAGGTAGAGCTGTTATAGACTTGAACACGCCCTCTTCCTCTCCTTCCTCCTCCCCCTCCACTGCATCCTCCACAGCATCACTGAAAGCTTCATCATCCAAGTTGTCACTCAGGGAAAGGCTCTGATGTGGGCAAAGGGTGGGAATAAGTGGGTCAGGACCAAGGGATAGGATAGAAATAAGGGTTGTAACGTGCTTTGGTGATTCATGATACGAGCCTGGGATTTCCATGAGTGCATTAACACTAGCTTTAGACGATGTCAGTAGATTATAGTCGAAGTTGCAAATAATCTTTCAAGCGGATGTTAAAACCCGCCCTCACCTTTCGCATTCTGTCGATGTTTTCCTGCTCGATCCGCCGTGCGTCCGCCACAGTCATCTCGCACCACTCGTCCGCCCATGCATAGCACTTCCTGTACGCCTCCAGGTAAAGCGCGCGGTGCGCCTGAGGGGGAGGCGCGGGGAGAACGGGAAAGGGGGAAGGGGGAAGCGGGAAAGGAGAAGGGGGGAGTATTGGAGAGGGAGATTGAGAGGAGGGGAAGAGACGGGGGTTAGAATAGAAATAGCCACAGGTGCGGCGTTTTCTACGGTGGCAGCAAGCATTGCGACAATCGCATGAATCAACGCAGCGACGGCGACGAGACAACACTCGACTCAACGCTGCAGCACTCACGGCGATTGCGGCGAGCTCCATCTGCCTGCCGAACCCCCAGTAGGGCGCGTCCACTCGTATCACCTTGTACGACGTCATCACAGGCTCACACGTTTTCTGCAATGAAAAAAGGATGGGAACGCAGATTGAATTTCGAAACCAAGTAATCGTCAATTTCGTTACAGAGAGCATGGTACGACGATCAGCCACAGTCGAGCTAGCAGCGGACCATCTAATAACCCTCCATGCTTACCTGCCATCCGGGGGCGAGCGGGCCGCGGTTGAGTTTAAGCAGGGCGATCTTGGAGGGGTCGGTGCGCTTCCGCGCGATGATTCGCGACCACATGTCCCTGTCGGCCGACGCGATGTCCACGTGGTCCACCTTGCGCAGCGCCACGTCAGCCTTTGACAGATTCAGCGCCTGCAGGACGAAGAGAAGAGGATGAGGAGATGAACGAGGGTGGTTGCAAACCAATTCAGGGCGAGAGCAGGTAGCTGTCAAACTGGTGTGTATAGGAACCACAACAAATCACCCACGCTGCGTCACATTGCTTGGCTGCATCTCGAGTACCACCTAGGCATGTTAGCTTTTCCCTGCCGAGACACATCATTTTGAAGGGGACACTCACGTTCTCCGTGTCGCCTCGGTCGGCGAGGTGATACGTGTCGACGACTATCTTGAAGGTGGTGAAATACGGGCACTGTGACGGGCGGCGGAGAGGAGACAGCAGAGGAGGAAAATGCATCAGAACATGCCCGCACACGACGTAGGAGGAGGAAACTGCAAATAGCACGCAGATGAATCAACGACACGCGCGCACACGTCAAATGTCCCCCTTCTCCCCCTTCCCCCTTCCCTCCCCATCCTTCGCATGCTTACGCTGAGCTCCATGCGGCTGCGCGGGTACGCGTTCCAGTTCTTCTCCTCCAGCCGCAGCGCCTTGAGCGGCGCGAGCGCGCGGATCCACGCGGGCGCGCGGCCCTGAAAGTGGTGCACGACGTGCGAGAAATGCCCCTCGCCTAAGACGTCGTCTTTGAACGGCTCGCTGGCGATCACCTCGACGCCCTCGCGCCCCTTGGTGTTCTCCATTTGCATTCGCGACCGCATATAGGTGTGCCCCACGTGATACTGGCTCGTGCGATAATGCACGGAGAGAATGTGAGGGAGAAGGGAGGGGAGGGACGGAAGACGTGAGCGAAGGGAGGTTGCATGCGCGACTGCATGTAAGTGTGCCCCTTGCGTCTAGTCAGAAAGAACAGGTAGGGTGGGTTTCCAGCCGCCTCAAGTTGCGTTGCGGGGCATGAGTTGAAGGGGGGGATGCGCATGGGCATGCGCGTGCGCGTGCTTGTGCGCGTGTGCGCACCTCGTCGAGAGAAAAGGGCATTGTGATGCGGCTGAAGATGGTGGACCACGCGCGACGGACGATGAGAACCGAGCAACGAGAGGCAAGCGCCGAGAGGCGAGCGACGAGAGGCAAGCGACGAGAGGCGAGCGACGAGCGGCGAGCGACGAGAGGCGAGCGACGAGCGCAGATGGCCGTCGATATCGCCACAATAATACGGTGGCGAGGGGGCACCGTGCAGACGACGCAAAACAAGAAACACGCGGGAGGGGAACAAGTTAGAGATCCGTTGGTAAACGAACAATACCAGCGCGTTCGGAAAATCGTTGTGCATCTTACAATTCCTTAATTTGCACCATTCTGGCTAGCAGTTGTTGACGGGCGCGGAGCGAAACGGGGGGGGGCTGAGCCAAGATCGACTCAAGGTCGTTGGGTGAAGTTGGCGAGGAGTTCCCGTCAAGTTGACACTTCCTTCGACAGACTCCTTTTGCAACAAAAGCGAGGTTTCCGAAAGACCGTGCTCGAAGAGATGGCGGTGCGCTGCGTTGCTCTTTCTCGCCTTCTGCCGTTGGTGAAGAGGGCTGGGAAGGCGACGGAAGCGGCTTGGTGAGGTTGTGGAGTTGGCTGCATCCGTTGGGTTGCTTGGTTGGGGGAATGGGAGCTTACGGGATTGTATGGCAGATGAGATATTTGAGCGGAGGGCAAGGGTGGAAGGGGGGGAGGGATTCACGTAGCAGCTGTGTAGTGGAAAGGGCGAGAGAGCGAGCAGTTGATACGATAGCGAGAGAATTGCTCCAGACCCGGAAACGGTGATTTGCCGTTGCACACGTGGCTTTGAATTGCTACCGTGGTCGGACAATTCGATGATAATTGCTCGAGTGGTCTTGCCAGAGGTTTTCTCTGGCATTTTTTTATCCGGCACATTACCCAAAACCGGTTTTTCGCCCTGAAATGCTTACGTTGAACGTGTCTCTTCCCGCGAAAGTGTGGCGTACCCGGAAAGACGTGCACGAGGGCGGCGACGTCACTGTTTGGATACGCAACAAAAATCAGCACGGTCATCTAGGCAAACAGTTGCGCTCAATTTCGGTCCATATTGTAACCAATCCGCGCATAGTTATATGATTCCCCGATCATATACTCAGTTGCACGGATGTTAGTACGCGCGACCAATTACAGAGTGCGCCTGATTGGTCGATTTTATGCGCGAAGCCCTTTTTGACCTTGCACGTCCAATCAGACGCGGTCATGTAAGATCGCGCTCATATAAAGCCGCGCATTTACCTATATGAGTGCGCATATATGATGCTCGAATGTGTGAATGATCTATTTTATTACTATAAAACAAAACAAAAACTCCGCATCTTCGTCATGTGTTAGAAGTATTAGATGACGAACCCATTCCGGCTAATAGGAACGTTCTAACTGAATTACCTCCTAAAAGAGATACGGGACCTACATGATCTAAGTGAAGGCAAAGTTGGATGTCAACCCTAAAACGACGAGAGAATATGATATGTGACGTGTGTTGCATCAGTTAAAAGAAAACAAACGCGGGATCTTGACTGAGCATTTCAAATTTGACTCTAATTGGCCAGAGGTTACGTTTCTGCTTGTGTACCTTTTGTAGGATTTGTCAGTTTCAAATAATATTCAATTTTCAGCAGGTCTTGGGTTTATGATTTAGGTTTAGGGTTTGCGATCTCATATGGGCGTGACCCTATATGAGCGCGCCTGATTTGGACGCGCATGTGAAGATAAGCAGTAGAAGAAGGCGCCATAGCTAGGTAAGTCCTAGCTAGGCAAGAGAAGTTTAGGCAAAAGGGGAGGTTGCACTAGCAAGAATGAGGATACAAATGGCAAACCCTAGAAGGGTTGTACTCGCTATAGAGCACCCCACTACAGGCTAGAGCATAATATTCTGACACACCCCCATAGCCAAAGTGGGGTGTAATCAGCAGAGCAAGCAAAGCAGTACAAGCTCAGGGTGGATCACAATGTCACCACACATTCTGAGCACAAGTTCAAGAAGCAATAGTTTAAAGTTCACAATTATGAGCAAAGCTAGTGGTAGTCACAACGGGCAAGTGAGGAGGAGGAAAGAGACTATGAGAGGAGAGGAGGTAGTGGGCGGCAGCTGA